AATAATATGCCATTTAGCAGACGCTTTTATCCAAAGCTACTAACAGTCATGTGTGCATACATTTTTACGTATGGGTGGTCCCGGGGATCAAACCCACTACCCTGGCGTTACAAGCACCATGCTCTACCAATTGAGCTACAGAGGACCACCTAATCTTCACAATCTAATACAGGAGCTTCTGTGGAGTAAATTATTCCATAGACGATTATGTTCACTGGACTTGAGATATGAGACATACTTCATTATTTATAAAACCTGAAGATTTCAAAGGAAATATGATTATTAATTATTATTAATTATTATTAATTATTATTATTGTTATTATTATTATTAATTATTCTTATTATTATATGCAGCTGCCAATACACTGAAACCATTGGATGCAGTTTATCCCAGTGCACTACACTTTATTACGGGCGACAGGTTCAGTACGCATCACTGCATTCGGTATCAGAAAATAGATGGCGCTCTTTGAAGTCTTGTAGATCGATGCATTGTTCTCTTTTTGTTTATAAAGCACTTTTACAAAAACTTCCGCTGTACCTAACATAATTAATAACCTTTTGATGTACGATTTACCATACCCGGTCTCAGGGATGGCTAACTCTGGAAATTACTTCGGTCTCTACAAAGTTAGGTAAATCAGCTTTTACTTGTTTTGCACCTTACTTGTGGAATAATCTCAAAAGCTGCTTGAGGACCTTTTTATAATAATAATAATAATAATAATATGCCAATTAGCAGACGCTTTTATCCAAAGCGACTTACAGTCATGCGTGCATACATATTTTTGTGTATGGGTGGTCCTGGGGATCGAACCCACTACCTTGGCGTTACAAGCGCCGTGCTCTACCAGCTGAGCTACAGAGGACCACATTTTTAATTAAGAACATGTTTATTTTCAAGGACTTTGTTTTGTATCTCTGTTTGCTTTTCATATTGTATTGATGTGTATATTTTTGAAATTACTGGGCTCATCTGCAAAAGTGACCTCGGGCTCAGCATGACAACCAGTGAAAAAAAGTTTAAATCAAATTATTATTTTCTATCCATATTTTCAATGCTTCAAAGTAGTAGCCTCTAAAATTGAGCGTGTGAAACCAAAGACCAATGGAGTCATGGATATCTGTGGACAACAGTAAAGCCATTAGATTTACACAGCAAGGCTGGCTGCATTGCTACTTTTTATCGACATGTTAGCTTGATGTTATGGTTTAAGGATGAGTGCATTGAATGCAACCCAATGATAACGGCACTCAAACAAAAATAATGTCAACAACAGACCTGCTGGAATCTTAATATGGTCACAGTTAAGGTGACGGCCAGAGGGCAAAAGCTGTGTCCCAAATAGCACCCTATTCCATAGGATTCTGGTCAAATGTTGTGCACTAGGGCAGGGGTATTCAAATCTTACCCTACACTATTAAAAATAAAGGTGCTAGTTCAAATCAAATCAAATTGTATTTGCCACATGCGCCAAATACAACAGGTGTAGATATTACAGTGAAATGCTTACTTACAAGCCCTTAACCAACAATGAATAATACATATATATATATATATATATATATAAAGTGTTAAGTAAAAAAAAAAAAAAAGCTAATAACTGAAGAGCAGCAGTAATGTAAAATAACAGTAGGGAGGCTATATACAGGGGGGTACCGGTGCAGAGTCAATGTGCGGGGGCACCGGCTAGTTGAGGTAATTTAGGTAATATGTACATGTGGGTAGAGTTAAAGTGACTATGCATAAATAATAAACAGAGTCGCAGCAGCGTAAAAGAGGGGGGTGCGGGTGGGGGTGGGGGGGGCAGTGGAAATAGTCCGGGTAGCCATAATTAGCTGTTCAGGAGTCTAATGGTTTGGGGGTAGAAGCTGTTGAGAAGCCTTTTGGACCTAGACTTGGCACTCCGGTACCGATTGCCGTGCGGTAGCAGAGAGAACAGTCTATGACTAGGGTAGCTGGAGTCTTTGACAATTTTGAGGGCCTTCCTCTGACACTGCCTGGTATAGAGGTCCTGGATGGCAGGAAGCTTGGCCCCAGTGATGTACTGGGCCGTACGAATTACCCTCTGTAGTGCCTGTAGGCTGTGCAATTGTCATACCAGGCAGTGATGCAACCAGTCAGGATGCTCTCGATGGTGCACCTGTAGAACTTTTTGAGGATCTGAGGACCCATGCCAAATCTTTTCAGTCTCCTGAGGGGGAATAGGCTTTGTCGTGCCCTCTTCACGACTGTCTTGGTGTGTTTGGACCATGATAGTTCTTGGTGATGTGGAAACCAAGGAACTTGAAAATCTCAACCTGTTCCACTACAGCCCCGTCGATGAGAATGGGTGTGTGCTCAGTCCTCTTTTTTTTCCTGTAGTCCACAATCATCTCCTTTGTCTTGATCACATTTAGGGAGAGGTTGTTATCCTGGCACCACACGGCCAGGTCTCGGACCTCCTCCCTATAGGCTGTCTCATCGTTGTCGGTTATCAGGCCTACCACTGTTGTGTCGTCAGCAAACTTAATGATGGTGTTGGAGTCGTGCCTGGCCATGCAGTCATGGGTGAACAGGGAGTACAGGAGGGGACTGAGCACGCACCCCTGAAGGGCCCCCATGTTGAGGATCAGCGTGGCAGATGTGTTGTTACCTACCCTTACCAGCTGGGGGGTGGCCCGTCAGGAAGTCCAGGATCCAGTTGCAGAGGGAGGTGTTTAGTCCCAGGATCCTTAGCTTAGGGATGAGCTTTGAGGGCACTATGGTGTTGAACGCTGAGCTGTAGTCAATGACCAGCATTCTCACGTAGGTGTTCCTCTTGTCCACCTGGGAAAGGGCAGTGTGGAGTGCAATAGAGATTGCATCATCTGTGGATCTGTTGGGGCGGTATGCAAATTGGAGTGGGTCTAGGGTTTCTGGGATAATGGTGTTTGATGTGAGCCATGACCAGCCTTTCAAAGCACTTCATGGCTACAGACGTGAGTGCTACGGGTCGGTAGTCATTTAGGTAGGTTATCTTACTGTCCTTGGGCACAGGGACTATGCTGGTCTTCTTGAAACATGTTGGTATTACAGACTCAGTCAGGGACATGTTGAAAATGTCAGTCAAGACACTTGCCAGTTGGTCAGCACATGCTCGGAGTACACGTCCTGGTAATCCGTCTGGCCCTTGTGGCCTTGTGAATGTTGACCTGCTTAAAAGTCTTACTCACATCGGCTACGAAGAGCGTGATCACATTGTCATGCATGCTTCAGTGTTGCTTGCCTCGAAGCGAGCATAGAAGTGATTTAGCATGTCTGGTAGGCTTGTGTCACTGGGCAGCTCGCGGCTGTGCTTCCCATTGTAGTCTGTAATAGTTTGCAAGCCCTGCCACATCCGACGAGTGTCAGAGCCGGTGTAGTACGATTCAATCTTAGTCCGGTATTGACTCTTTGCCTGTTTGATGGTTCGTCGGAGGGCATAGCGGGACTTCTTATAAGCGTCCGGGTTAGAGTCCCGCTCCTTGAAAGCGGCAGCTCTACCCTTTGCAGATGTTGCCTGTAATCCATGGCTTTTGGTTGGGGTATGTACGTATGGTCACTGTGGGGATGACGTCATCGGTGCACTTATTGATTAAGCCAGTGACTGATGTGGTGTACTCCTCAATGCTATCTGAAGAACATATTCCAGTCTGTGCTAGCAAAACAGTCCTGTAGCTTAGCATCTGGGTCATCTGACCACTTTTTGATTTACCGAGTCACTGGTGCTTCCTGCTTTAGTTTTTGCCAAATGTAGGGCGAGGTAGAGCTTTGTATGTGTCTCTGTGTGTGGAGTAAAAGTGGTCTAGAGTTTTTTCCCCCCTGGTTGCACATTTAACATGCTGGTAGATTAGGTAGAACGGATTAAGTTTCCCTGCATTAAAGTCCCCGGCCACTAGGAGCGCTGCCTGTGGATGAGCGTTTTCCTGTTTACTTATGGCCTCATACAGCTCATTGAGTGCAATCGTAATGCCAGCATCGGTTTGTGGTGGTAGATAGACAGCTACGAAAAATATAGATGAAAAGTCACTTGGCAAATAATGTGGTCTACAGCTTAACATGAAATACTCTACCTCAGGCGAGAAAAACCTTGAGACTTCCTTAATATTAGATTTTGTGCACCAGATGTTGTTTACAAATATGCACAGACCGCCACCCCTTGTCTTACCGGAGTCAGCCGTTCTATCCTGCCGATGTAGCGTATATCCCGTCAGCTGTATGTTGTCCATTTCATCGTTCAGCCACGACTCGGTGAAACATAAGACATTACAGTTTTTAATGTCCCGTTGGTAGGATAACTGTAATCTTAGGTCGTTCAATTTCTTCTCAAATGATTGAACATTGGCTAATAGGATTGATGGAAGAGGCAGTTTACTCGCTCGCCGTCGGATCCTTACAAGTTGGAACCAAATACATTTCTTGAGAGCGATGCCATAGGGAAACCATTTTAGGGTCTCTAAAGAACCATAAATTCAAAACCCGGAATGTTTCGGCCATCCATGACCGGAATTGAATAGCCCTGCTGTATTTGCACATTTCCCAGGGTGCCTTTCGAGTGAATTTTAGAGTTACCAGTACCATCCATGACTGTGTTTGCTAGTGACAGAGATATGGTTGTGGCATTAATTCATTTGCAGCCCTGTGGCCTTCACAAAGTTACAGCTCAAGTGAATATGACAATACATATTTCATAAAGCCTGCTTTGGAGGTGGAGATATACCCTAATAATAGGGTGCACGCAAGATGGCGGTCAGTGCAGATGCACTTTTTTGTTAGTTGAAGGAATTATTGGATTTTCTCACCCAAATATGACCATTTGTTCATTTCTAAGGTCATAAACCCCCACATGAATATGGTTTAGTTAGCAACAACTCTAGATAACCAGATCAGCTAGCTAGCTCAAAAACTAGCTTGTCTACATGGAAACTTCCACGACCAGAACCAAAAGAAAATAAATTGAGAAATCATCAGATTGACAATTAACAGCAAAAGATGGTATGGTTTTGGGTACTCCTCTTCAGAATGTAACTGTGGGGGGAAATACTGCTGTGGGTGATGTAAATTTGGTGAGCACGGACAACAATACTGACAACTTGCGCCCATCCAGTCCCCAGCTCAGGCCGTTACCTTATGACCCCGACACTCCAGTCAAGCCCCAGGGGAAAAAGATGAGAGGGCAAGAGAGTATGTCACTTCTTGAGATTCAAAACAATATTGTGATGCTTTTGACAGCAAAAATAGATGAAAGGGCAAATGGCTTGGAGGAAATGGTTAGGGGAATAAGATGAAAATTGAGGCCATAAAACAATCTGTTGACTTTATCTCTGGAGAAGTGAAAACCCTCAAAAGTGACATGAAGAAGGTGGAAGTTATCTACCAGGAAAATGAAAAGAAGGTGGCTGAACTTGAGAAAAAGGTGAATGAGGCAGAGAGATACCAGCGCAGGTGGAACCTGAGGCTCCATGGAATTCCAGAGCAGGCGGGTGAGGACATCAAATGCAGAGTTGTTGACATCTGTGGAGCTGTCATTCTCGAGTCAAAAGCCAAACTTCAGGAATATGTGGACATCGTTCATCGTTTGGGAAGACTCAAGGATCATGACAAGAGACCGAGGACAACCATCATCCGGTTCACCAACAGATCTACATGGGATCTTCTCTGGAGGCGAGCGAAGAACTGTGTGTTTCTCATCAAGCAAAAATTGAGGTTCACGAAGGATCTGACCTCAGCGGACAAAGTGACACAGGAGAAACTGTGGCTGATGGTGGCTGCAGTTCGAAAGGCAGGGAAAACTGCATTTTTTGTCGGTGCAGGAGTGATAATCGATGGGAAAGAAATGCGGCCAAATCAGAACATTTGAGAAAGAAAAGGCTGACCTGAAAACTGGTAAACTAAACACTAACTATGGGTGAATAACTGCTTATTGTAAGGTCTACACAATGTCTTCCCCTTGTGGGAGTAATAATAATTAGGTAACTTTATGATAGTATTTCTTAGTTTATTGTTGGACGGGATGGAAATCCTTTTGAGTTACATATCCTTAGGAAAAGCTTAGGCTATTAGGGAATATCTATGCATCCAACAACAAACAAAACAACAGTATATAATTTCAAGAATTTGAAGAAGAGATTAACATAGTTAAAGGTGTATTTCAGGATATCAAAACTATCTTAGGTGGAGATTTTAAGTCTGTATCTAATGTGATGATTGACAGATATCCCCCTCCTAACAAATCCAGCATTGTTAATCCTGAGTTTAATAATCTATGTCTTGGTCTTAGATTATTCGAAATTTGGAGATCAAAATATCCTAATAAAAATAATAAAAAGGACTTCACTTGGAGTAACAAGGGCATGTCCAGACAGTCAAGAATTGACTTCTGGTTGATTTCTAATTCATTAGATAACACTGTAGGTAAGGTATCCATTGAACCATCAATTCTTACTGATCATAAAGTTATATTCTTATCTATAAATATGAATGGCTCTGAAGTTAATAAACCGAATTTGAGTTATTGGAAACTCAATAGTAGACTGTTGGAAGATGATAATTTCAAGATGGATGCCCAATTATTTAAGTCTTATGGGAAATATTGGGAATGAATTAAGTATTAAATAAGACAAACAGCCATGAAGAGAGGTAAAGAAATTGCTGAATTTAAAAGATCGAGGGAAGAGAAACTTGTTAAGGAAATACTTTCTCTAATCTCTATGGAGGACCTTGATAAAGAAGGAAAGGGTCAGTTATTTTCTTTACAACTATAAATGGACCAAATGTATGAAGAGAGAGCAAAACGGGCATTTGTAAGATCAAGAAGGAGATGGTACAATTTAGAGAGAAAAAATTCTGAATTTACCTCTATTCATAAGCTTATTATACATGGCAAAGAAAATGATTTTTCAAAATATGTTTCAGAATTCTATGGTAATCTTACACCAGTAATGCCTGTCCTACTAGTGACATATCTGGCTTTCTAGACTGTCAAAGACTAAGCCAAATTCATAGATGAAGACTTCCAAAAGTATTGTGATGAATTTATTTATATGAATGAAATAGAAAAAATTATCAGCAAGTTAAAAGAGAACAAATCTCAAGTGAATGATGGACTTATTAGTGAATTCTAGAAATATTTTCAGGGGATATTGTTGAATTTATATTTAATGTTGTTAAGGAGGAAATTGATTTAGGGGTCCTTCCTGTTTCTATGACACAAGGCCTCATTTCTGTAATCCCCAAACCAAACAAAGATCCTATGACCAATCACATCAACGCACAATGATGGAAAGCTACTTGCATCCATCTTTGCAGAAATACCAAAAAAAAAGTTATTGACCAAATTACTGATGATACCCAGTCTGGTTTTATGAAGGGCAGACATACAGTGCCTTGCAAAATTATGAATCCCCCTTGGCGTTTTTCCTATTTCGTTGCATTACAACCTGTAATTTAAATTGATTTTTATTTGGATTTCATTCAATGCACCTACACAAAATAGTCCAAATTGGTGAAGTGAAATGAAAAAAATAACTTGTTTCAAAAAATTATCAAAAATAAATAACGGAAAAGTGTTGCTTGTATACAGTGGGGAGAACAAGTATTTGATACACTGCCGATTTTGCAGGTTTTCCTACTTACAAAGCATGTAGAGTTCTGTAATTTTTATCATAGGTACATTTCAACTGTGAGAGATGGAATTTAAAACAAAAATCCAGAAAAACACATTGTATGATTTTTAAGTAATTAATTTGCATTTTATTGCATGACATAAGTATTTGATCACCTACCAACCAGTAAGAATTCCGGCTCTCACAGACTTGTTAGTTTTTCTTTAAGAAGCCCTCATGATCTCCACTAATTACCTGTATTAACTGCACCTGTTTGAACTCGTTACCTGTATAAAAGACACCTGTCCACACACTCAATCAAACAGACTCCAGCCTCTCCACAATGGCCAAGACCAGAGAGCTGTGTAAGGACATCAGGGATAAAATTGTAGACCTGCTCAAGGCTGGGATGGGCTACAGGACAATAGGCAAGCAGCTTGGTGAGAAGGCAACAACTGTTGGCGCAATTATTAGAAAATGGAAGAAGTTCAAGATGACAGTCAATCACCCTCGGTCTGGGGCTCCATGCAAGATCTCACCTCGTGGGGCATCAATGATCATGAGGAAGGTGAGGGATCAGCCCAGAACTACACGGCAGGACCTGGTCAATGACCTGAAGAGAGCTGGGACCACAGTCTCAAAGAAAACCATTAGTAACACACTACGCCATCATGGATTAAAATCCTGCAGCGCACGCAAGGTCCCCCTGCTCAAGCCAGCGCATGTCCAGGCCCGTCTGAAGTTTGCCAATGACCATCTGGATGATCCAGAGGAGGAGTGGGAGAAGGTCATGTGGTCTGATGAGACAAATATAGAGCTTTTTGGTCTAAACTCCACTCGCCGTGGTTGGAGGAAGAAGAAGGATGAGTACAACCCCAAGAACACCATCCCAACCGTGAAGCATGGAGGTGGAAACATCATTCTTTGGGGATGCTTTTCTGCAAAGGGGACAGGACGACTGCACCGTATTGAGGGGAGGATGGATGGGGCCTTGTATCGCGATATCTTGGCCAACAACTTCCTTCAGTAAGAACATTGAAGATGGGTCGTGGCTGGGTCTTCCAGCATGACAACGACCCGAAACACACAGCCAGGGCAACTAAGGAGTGGCTCCGTAAGAAGCATCTCAAGGTCCTGGAGTGGCCCAGCCAGTCTCCAGACCTGAACCCAGTAGAACATCTTTGGAGGGAGCTGAAAGACCGTATTGCCCAGCGACAGCCCCGAAACCTGAAGGATCTGGAGAAGGTCTGTATGGAGGAGTGGGCCAAAATCCCTGCTGCAGTATGTGCAAACCTGGTCAAGACCTACAGGAAACGTATAGTGAGGGAAAAAAGTATTTGATCCCCTGCTGATTTTGTACGTTTGCCCACTGACAAAGAAATTATCAGTCTATAATTTTAATGGTAGGTTTATTTGAACAGTAAGAGACAGAATAACAACAAAAAAATCCAGAAAAACGCATGTCAAAAACGTTATAAATTCATTTGCATTTTAATGAGGGAAATAAGTATTTGACCCCCTCTCAATCAGAAAGATTCCTGGCTCCCAGTTGTCTTTTATACAGGTAACGAGCTGAGATTAGGAGCACACTCTTAAAGGGAGTACTCCTAATCTCAGTTTGTTACCGGTATAAAAGACACCTGTCCATAGAAGCAATCAATCAATCAGATTCCAAACTCTCCACCATGGCCATGACCAAAGAGCTCTCCAAGGATGTCAGGGACAAGGATGTTGTAGACCTACACAAGGCTAGAATGGGCTACAAGACCATCGCCAAGCAGCTTGGTGAGAAGGTGACAACAGTTGGTGCGATTATTCGCAAATGGAAGAAACACAAAATAACTGTCAATCTTCTTCGGCCTGGGGGTCCATGCAAGATCTCACCTCGTGGAGTTGCAATGATCATGAGAACGGTGAGGAATCAGCCCAGAAATACACGGGAAGATCTTGTCAATGATCTCAAGGCAGCTGGGACCATAGTCACCAAGAAAACAATTGGTAACACACTACGGCGTGAAGGACTGAAATCCTGCTGCGCCCGCAAGGTCCCCCTGCTCAAGAAAGCACATATACATGCCCGTCTGAAGTTTGCCAATGAACATCTGAATGATTCAGAGGAGAACTGGGTGAAAGTGTTGTGGTCAGATGAGACGAAAATGGAGCTCTTTGGCATCAACTCAACTCGCCGTGTTTGGAAGAGGAGGAATGCTGCCTATGACCCCAAGAACACCATCCCCACTGTCAAACATGGAGGTGGAAACATTATGCTTTGGGGGTGTTTTTCTGCTAAGGGGACAGGACAACTTCACCGCATCAAAGGGACGATGGACGGGGCCATGTACCGTCAAATCTTGGGTGAGAACCTCCTTCCCTCAGCCAGGGCATTGAAAATGGGTCGTGGATGGGTATTCCAGCATGACAATGACCCAAAACACACGGCCAAGGCAACAAAGGAGTGGCTCAAGAAGAAGCACATTAAGGTCCTGGAGTGGCCTAGCCAGTCTCCAGACCTTAATCCCATAGAACATCTGTGGAGGGAGCTGAAGGTTCGAGTTGCCAAACGTCAGCCTCGAAACCTTAATGACTTGGAGAAGATCTGCAAAGAGGAGTGGGACAAAATCCCTCCTGAGATGTGTGTAAACCTGGTGGCCAACTACAAGAAACGTCTGACCTCTGTGATTGCCAACAAGGGTTTTGCCACCAAGTACTAAGTCATGTTTTGCAGAGGGGTCAAATACTTATTTCCCCCATTAAAATGCAAATCAATTTATAACATTTTTGACATGCGTTTTTCTGGATTCTGTTGTTGTTATTCTGTCTCTCACTGTTCAAATAAACCTACCATTAAAATTATAGACTGATAATTTCTTTGTCAGTGGGCAAACGTACAAAATCAGCAGGGGATCAAATACTTTTTTCCCCTCACTGTATGATCTCTGTAATTGAAAACAAAGGTTTCTGTACCAAATATTAAGTTCTGCTTTTCTGATGTATCAAATACTTATGTCATGCAATAAAATGCAAATTAATTACTTAAAAATCATACAATGTGATTTTCTGGATTTTTGTTTTAGATTCCGTCTCTCACAGTTGAAGTGTACCTATGATACAAATTACAGACCTCTACATGCTTTGTAAGTAGGAAAACCTGCAAAATCGGCAGTGTATCAAATACTTGTTCTCCCCACTGTATGTATTCACCCCCTTTTCTACAAAGCCCCTAAATAAGATCTGGTGTAACCAATTACCTTCAGAA